TATATATAATATGCTTGTGTGTGTTTATAAACTCATGCGTCTATACAAGTTTTTCAATTTGGTGTTCATACATCAGTCTGTACTGTATTTTTCTTGTAATAAATTAATATTTAAGACAAACTATAATTCTGCTGGGTTTTACAGTTTTACCTTGCAAGTTTTGAGTGTCCACCAGGTGAAACAGCTGCTGCATATGGAAATACAGATGGAACGAAATCTGGACTACCATGTTCCAGGGATGCTTCTCCTGTAAAATTTAAAAATTACATTTAAGGATTTAAATGATAAATATGAAGTGAGAAAAAAATATACACACACACACACACACACAAACACATCTGTGTGTGTTGTGAAGCATGTTTTTATCATATATGTTTGTGTTTAACATGTGCATGAAGCATTGAAGAGTTACTTCACACACAAATTGTAAACACGTTTGACTGTAAAGATTACATGTCAACTGCTTCACTCATGCTGCACTTCATTATTTTCACTCATTTGTTACTTTCACTAATTGAACATTATTCTGGGATTTCACAACATAGAATATAATTTGCCGTGGTAGATCTAATTCCAAAGTACTTACCAGATATGAAGTGAGCACTGCAAAGATGAACATTCTTAATTGCCTCCTCAGTCCAATTCTCACGTTGTAAAGCTTGTAACCATAACTTTCGCCGATTTTTCTGAGAGGGTGGTTTACCAGCAGGATTTCTACAAAAGACTAGTTCTCTGTGTGTGCTCTTTCTATTCTGACATTCCACGGCACAGCATGAGGACGGCATTATTCACACGATTTTGTTCAGTTAATCGTGTGTTTTCTGCCTCCAAGATGCGCGCGCAGCCACACTTAATGTATGCATACGTCATGTGAAACTGATCTATACAATACAGCTTTCTTTATATCGAGCCTTCACACCCGCTGGAGCTCTAACAAAGCGCTTTACAGTACTCCTACTAAAATACTACATCCAAGAAATCGGAATATCGATCCATATGTAGCTCCCTTGCGATGTAGCATGAAACACGACACGAAGTCCCTAAACACAAATGCATTATAAAACAATAAATGAAAGACAAAAGTTATGAAGACAATCAATTCAACTATAAGGCAAACAAACCTCATGGGCTCACATCCATTAAGGGGCTAAATATCCGTCGCCTTGTCTCCTTCTTCCTTCATTTGCTTTTGGTATTACAGTATCTTCTGCCCACAAAGTAGTTGTCTGAGCGTGTGTTGGCGAATGCCCATGTCAGTTAGTGGCGGGCAGAACACTTAAGATGTCACAATTCGTTCCTGCTAATAATCACCACGAGATGGTATAGGTCAGGATTACGAAGGGAAACAACTCAATGGGGAATATATCTTTTTGTGTAATGTAATTTATGGACTTTATGTGTATTTTCCCTCATTAAATTCATTCGGCATTGTCGATGGACAATATTCCTGAGCGCTCGGTTCACTTGGAGTTTGTGAGAGAGGGAGTAGGACTATCACACGGGGTTTGCATTGATCTCGATTCAAAATCAGGCAAGTAAAATTGGAATAGACAATTTATGGCAGAAATGAATCTGCTCAAACATGCAGTAGTCCTGGTCAACGCTAATGTATGCACAGCAAGAGAGTATTAGTATCTGCTGAAATGCATTCATTCCATGTGCTGGGAGGGCGAATCCAAACACATTTACTCCACATGTAATCCATCGCTGGTCACCGGTCAGCTCCTTCTACAACGTTGTGATTCTTCTTTTCTCCATCAAGGCCATCTGTCTGGCTCACAAGTCATTTTAAATTTAGATTTAATAAATATTTTCTTATTGTCCACTTGCTTCATTGTTTTTTTTTTTCTGTCATTGTGCTCGAGAACAAAACACGTAGGTCATGATCCCTTTATTTCTGGTCAATAAAGAGTACATTGACACACATGGTTATATTTTTCTGAAGATGAGACATTTGTAACATTCTTCCATCTCCACCTGTATGACAAATAGAATAATGGTGTTTGTCAACGTTTTCCACAAAAACGTGGTTAAATGTGACTCACCATCCTCTCCATACGCATCCCATTTTCATAGGCCAACTGTCGGAGCACATCCATGTCTGGAAGTCCCCATTCGGGATTCCTGAGGGCAGGACATGACATCGTCATCAGAGTTGAATGAAGTTGTTTTAGGTTGCGCGGTTCTAACGGCACACTCCAAATTAGAGGCGAGCATGTACACTTTTGTCTGGAACATCAATGTTAGTTTATATTTTTGTTGAGTAGAATCAATCCATTTTCTATACCACTTGTCCTATAAATCTTTTTATTTGAAATTCACTAATGCATGCAAAATCATGAGTTCTATTTCACCACTGAATTAAATCATTAAAAAAAACAAGAGGGATTAAAAAAAAGCGAATGTTAATATATTTTTAATGCATGGTGTTTGTTGGAACAATAACTGAAATCGTTCTTCTAGTGAATTAATCAATGTGCATTTTAAATGTCACAGAAAATTAATACAAAGTCAGAAAATATTTCATCATTAATTCAATGCATATTTTGAACAGGACAGGGAATGATTATGAAGCCAGAATATTTCTTCCTCTTCCAAATGAAGTCAGAATATTTCTTCCTCTTCCAAATGTTTTTAATGTATTTCAACATGCCCTAAAAACCAGTATACTGAATGAATTACGATACACACCAAGTTGCTCTCTTCCCTGCTTAAAAAAACATGCATCCAATATGCAATAAGATGGAACAAGGCACAACTAAGCTTACACTTTGCGCAGCTCTTCATGAAGGAGTTCGTTGGATCGTGGCGTAATAGTGCCGTTAATAGCGTACGCCTGGAAAATGAAGTGCGACAAAAGTCAATTTCGATTTAAAAGCTGCTTTTAGAAGTGTGATACTTACCCCGTATGTCACCAACAGGCCATTGTGTTTGACGATCTGACCTGCCCCGTTGAAAACACCCTTTGTAAAAAAATAAAATAAAAAATTAAATCCGCTAAGTTTAAACCTGTTGGAAATGTAAACATGTAGGTCATCAGATGCAACAAGGGGAAGATTTTAGAATTGTCAAGTCAACTTTCCAGACTTCAGCCCTACAGAGAATTAACCCAATGTGCATTTTTGGAACTTGTGAGTTACTTGAAGCTGCACTAGGTGTAAATTGTATATCTTGAGCCGACCTGTGCTGTCTTGAAGGGGCTGTATTGGAGTAGGTTGATTGCAACAATGACATCACAGGAACCGCGAGAGACCCCCGCCCACTTCTCCCATGGCTCACTGGCATCCAGGTGCACAGGTGGCAGCACCGTCGTCACGTTGGTCGCGGCGATGTATGCCCTGATGCTGTCGTGGTGGTACACGTCACATGTTAACAGCACACAGAATACAAACAAGGTGCTGAAACATTCAACGGTTGGCTGCGCATAATGTATGTCAAAACCCACCACTGGAGTTGGACGTGTTGTCATACCTCTGCCGAGCCTCCTCTTGGATGTCGGACGGCTGCCAGGTGACGAAGGGCATCTTCTGGGCAAAGCGGATGACATGCTGCCCGGTTCCGGATCCCAGCTCCAGGGCGAAGAGCTGCCGGTGCGATTGCTCCTCCACCACGAGAGACAAGTGAATTTGTGACGCATGAATGCAGGATGATGATGAAACAATAAATATGAAAAATGAGAAAATATTTTTTTCTTTGTGTTCATTTGATTCCAATTCAAGCTGTTATAATGTCATTCGTCAATGCTACAAACGGTTATAGTAACAATATAACAGATTAATTATTCAAATAAGCGTTTTTTTTTCTTCTTCACATTTTCAGCTAGTGGTGTGCCGCGAGATTTTTCCAATGAAAGAAGTGTGCCTTGGCTCAAAAAAGTTTGAAAAACACTGCCCTAGGTTAATGTTTTCACACACGACACTTGTCAGATTACCAGCATAAACGTAATGCAGCGTGTACTACTGGATACAAATTCCTTGTGTGTTCTAGATACTTAGCCAATAAAGATGATTCTGATTCTGATGTAAGCGGACCAGTGTGGCGTGCTTGTTTCCGTTTTTTTTTTTTTTTTTTTTTAGC